TCTTCTGGTTATTGATGATGTTTCTCATTTGTTTTTATTAGATGCAGGTGTTTTCTGCACTTCAGCTGGGAGCACTTTCCCTTTTCAGTCAATTCCAAATCTACTCTGTGTCTCAGTCACCTTTTGACTGTGATACTGGAGAGGCAGAGAGAGAGAAAAAGAGAGAGATACTGGGTTTTGCTGCCTCAGCAGATGTGTGTTAAAGTGTTTTAGTGATTCAGCCAGTGCGTCTGCCTGCGGCCAAAGGAGAGGCATTGTCTGAATCTAAAACAATTAATAACAAAAAAAGAATGTGGGCAGCACAGAGCTGGGGAAGGTGGAGGTGGAAAGCGAGCAAATCACAGGGATATTTCCAGCTTGCAGAGCACCTTGACAAGATCTCCAACTGCTTTCAAAGACAGCCCTTTAAACCCACCCAGTCCCCTCCAAGATACAGAAGTCTCATCAGCCCTGTTGCGCAGATAGGGGAAACTGGAGCTGCGTTTGCAACTCATCCCTGGTCACCCAGCATCTCTGGAAGAGGGCCAGCCTCCTCGCCAGAGCCAGACTGCACTTTCCCAATGCCCCAGGGAAGCACAACCCCATACACGGCCGGGGGGTGGTGGGCAGAGTCGCAGCACCCGCTGGTTGCTGGGCCACGCACATGTGCTGGGAGGGACGCTGAGCCTCTCACCCTGCACTCAGGGACCCCTCTCAGGTCCTTCAAGAGCCACCAGCAATGCAACGACCTCTGTTCTCCACTCCAGCCGGGAAGGTGCAAAGGGGGAACCTCTGTTGTCTGCTTATGATGAAACATCTATCTTTTCCCCATTAGCAGAAGAAACTAATTTCGTCTGTGCTCAGGCAAGAGGAATTTGTCCCCTGAGCCATTTCTGCCTCTATCATTTAAACATCCAGTACAGCCTTTATGCTTCAGTCCTTGTGAAAGACTCTGAGGACCTCCTGATGCTCAGGATCTGATGCCTCACACTTACCAAATCCCCCAACCTTGCAAGCTGACGCGGGTGGCTCACAGAGTGATGGAGGCACCCCAGTCACCGGTCACCGCTGGAAATCTTGGCAGCTGAGCCTTGATAATGTGAAACAGAGCCAACACAGCCCCGCAGAACACCCAGGCGCTGATCTGGTGAGGGGAGACTCCATTTCTACATGCGGTTTAAAATTGATACCCCCATGAGGCATGTCAGAAAGCAAAACATTGATGCTGTCTTCACTGGAAGCATCGTTTGCTTTGGTTTTTTAATGACACAGAAAGCTGCTTGCAAAGAGATAATTTCATTCAGCCTAGCCCTTGCTGGATGTAGAAGGAAGCCCTTGGAGGTGACTCTCCAACGTATCCAGTATGCCACCTAGCCCTCGCTAGCTCTACTACACCCACCACTGCAGGATGGGCTGGAAAGGGGTTCCCAGCGTGAAGCTGTGAACACTTGTTGGGGTTATCATCGCAAGTAAGAAGGTACTGTCTGAGGGAAGGACAAATATCTTGGGAAGAAATTGCATTTTCCTTCTGACACTCAACCCAGTCTCCATACAAAGTGAAATATGGTGTCAATATCTGTACCGCCTGCTGTTGCTCACCTTTCCTTTCTGTACTTCTGTCTCAGGCTTGCCCCATCAGTTCCACTTTTGTCACTTGTCATTTTTCCCTCCAAGGATGAAATATTGGCTTTTTCTCATAGCGATGCTTCAGGCACCTGACTTCACAACCTGATGGTGATTTTTAATACTTGCACATGAAAAAAACAAACAAACAAACAAACAAACATTCTCCTGTATAAGCATTATTTTGCTAATGAATTTCAGATCTACACAAACTGGACAGTGGTTTTGGAGGGAGAAGAAAAAAAAAATCTCACTCTTGTATCTGTGATTCAGCTCTTAATCTTTCTAGATTGCCTGAATTTGTGTGATGTTCTAAGTGCCTCCAAAACACACAGATTAGCCCAAACTGATTAAAACGCATGTTCCATTGTCTTTATCACACCCAGAAAAGTCGGTGCTTTTGCACATTACGGAGAGTATCATAATGAAGTGTGACGTATTTGAGATGTAAAGAATAGTAACTGTTTTCCAAATAATTATTTCTCTTTTTGCAACAGAGCCGTATGCAACACATGGAGCCTATAGCAATGAAGTATATTAGAAGACGCTAATAGAAACCTTGGTTTCCACTGAACTCTCTCTGTTCACTCCTGCAAAATAAGAAAGCATGTCTTATAAACATAAAACATGATTGTGATCTCCCTTGGAAGAGCACAAGCCAGGAGAAATGTGATCTTTGTTAGCTGCAGGCTCTTCTACAGCTCACTACCAGCCATTCGTTTTACACTGCCCTGTTGCTGTCTTATTTTCCCAGGGTAGTGAGGCCTCTGGTGTCAGTAAAAGATGCCAAAAAGGCAGCCCTTGGGAGGAGCATGGGCAGCACGCACCAGGTCATCATCTGCAACTCCATCCCAGCTGCAGGCCTCAGCAGTTCAATACGGGTGGTAGCCCCAAGATCCACGTGGCTGAGACTACTTTCATAATGTGAGAGAAAACCTGCCATCAGGGCACATCTCCTGGTTAAAATCTTGTCATCTTCTGGTTGAGGATATGAGTCAGTTTTGAGGCACGCTTTTGTGGATGAATGTCCTCGCGGCGCTGCATAGGAGTGAAATGAAGGTGGCCGCAAGACAAATTCACATCACCTGGATTTTGGCTTGCTCTGAACGCCCAGGAGAAAGTTCCCGGACAGTCGTAAATTAGAGCAGCTTCCTTAGGGATCCCTCACAGGATCTCTGCCCCATGGCAATCCAGCCATGCCCAAACCTCCTATGCCAGGGCATGCAGCTGGGTTTAATGGAGGCAATTCTCTACATGCCTCACCATTTTGTGTCTCGCAGGTTGGAGTGGGAGTGAAATCTCTCCTCCACCCCTCTAGATTCTCTCTCTGTCTCTCTACCAGGTATTAATATACAGAGCATACTGTTTCTTAAGGGGTGGAAGAAGGAATGAGGAAAGCAAATTCTCTCCTACCCTAAGCTCTCTCACAAAGTGCTTCCAGATCTCCAGGTGAACAGTGCTCACTCTCTGCCCAGTGCTACTTTCTGCAAAGCACCCATTCAGACCAGCAGCAGATTTTCTTAAAAATCAGAGGCAGAATGCAATTAATATGCTGTAAAAGTCGTGTCAACTGGGGAAACCGCTTTAAAACACTTCTAGATAAAATCCTAAGGGGGGATTGCTTTTCTTACCTTAAAGGCGACTACTTATTTGCTCTTAACTGTGATTTAAGCAGAGACCCAGGCAATGTTAAATAAAATTTCTGAAAAACCTTCTGGTAAAAAGAAAGACACACACCCCCGAAAAAGGCTTAGAAACGTGGCTTTCTTCTTTGAAGGGCGGGGGGGGGGGAAGAACAGGAGGGAGTTGATCTTTACTACGGAGTCCACGCGGGGCAGGAAGGCAGTAAAACAAGGAACACCTGAGAGGCGCAAATAAAGCCCTAAGCATGGAAATTTTGGAGAAGAAGGAGTTAATGCTTTTAAGCAACCATCCGTCCTCTTACCATAGATAAGGGTGCATTCTAGTGGCAAAATCCATGCAATGCAGCTGCACAGATGACTGATCTAAAAAGAAACCTGGGGAAGAGGCGGCTTCGGAGGAGTGTGTGGAAGGGGGGTTGCCTTGAATCGCACATAAACTTCACCCAGAATCGGCTGATCCCTTTTAATTCCCCGCTCTCCCCGGGTAGGTCACCCCGTGCCTGCGCTGCTGGGCGAGCCCCCAGCCCCGGCCGGGCGCAGCTCAGCCCCTGGCCCAGGTGCAGCTGCCTGGGCGGGCCGCGGGGCCGCGCACCGCAATTTGGGAGATTCCCTTCCTCACGCTTCCAGCTTCCCCGCTCCCAGCAATGAATGAGCACTGAGGAAGGCAAGTGCGAAGGACCACGGCCGGGAGAGCTGTAACCTTTAGGAATGCAGCGGTGGAACAAAAGACAACAAACCCCAAGCTGTCCGGGACAGAGGATGAGCATTGCGAAGCGCTTTTTTTTTTTTTTTTTTTTTTTTTTTTTTTTTCCTCCCCTTCCTTCTCCCTCCCCACTTTGTGCAGGGCAAAAGGCAAAAGAAGAATGAGCTAAAACGTGCAAATTGGACTTCACATGGCAAAATTCCCCTTGTTTTCTGGCATGCCCTAAGCAACGGCGAACTTTTCCAAAGAGGAATCTAACACAGTTCTTACAAGCAGCCCAGCCCGCCCTCCTGCTCACTGTCCGGCTGTGTTAACCCTTGCTGTTTGGGGGTGTCAGGGGCGCACCCTGGCACTGGGCAAAGCCTCACTGCGTTTTTAGACCTCGCCGAGGGGTAGAGGGGCCGGAGAGGGGAGCTGGGCACCCTGCACCCACAAAGGGTGGGTGAGAGCGGGTCCCCGGCACGTAGCCAGCCATCTCCCTCCCCCGTTCACCTTCGGGGCTGGTGGGTGGGTGCGCGCCCCGGCTCCCCGCCCGGAGGGTCCCCAGCCCACCAGCTACCCCGGCAGCGGATGGGGGTCCCTGCCCCACCAGCACAGAGGGTACAGCGTGCAGGATCAGGCCCTGCTAACTCAGTACCCCCCCACTCCTTCCTCCCCAAACTCAGAGCCCTGACCTCTCCCTCCCAGATTCCCTGCAGCCCAGGCTGCCGTGCAACCCAATTGCAACCACTTTTTTTTTTTTTCCTTAAACCGTGAAGATCTGAACTTCCCCCCCACCACCACCCCCCATCCTCGGCTTCCCCCTCCTCCTCCCCTTGTCTCTCCTCATAATATTATCCTTGATCACTGCCCGGGGTTTGAAGCCCAGAAGTCAGAAGCTGTGCACCCCACCCCCACCGGCTCGAGTGTGCACTGATAGGGCCCTCGCTGCTGGCACCTAGTCAAGCTGAGGTGTCATTGGGATCTCAAATTGCAGCTAGGGGCTGGCAGGCAGCCAGAGGCAGTCTATTTAAAAGACAGCCTGTTCTGCAGTATTCAGTCTCTTTAGAAACTTCTCCAGGGGAAAAGTGTTGGGAGATCTACAAAGTGGATTTTTTTTTCTCCTCTTCTTTTTTTTTTTTTTTTCTTCCCCCCTTCCCCCTGTTTTTTACCGCTCCTCTGCAGACTTTGCAACAAAACACTCCAACTTTGCAGAAAACTTTTCTTTTTTCTTTTTTTAATTTTTTGCCTTTTTTTCGCTTTTTTTTTTTCGCTTTTTTTTTTTTTTTTTTTTTTTTTTTTTTTTTGCCTTTGCAAATCTTGGAAGAGGAAAGCGGGAGGGTTGAACAGAGCCGATCGAAATACTACTTTGCTTCATACCGAGCCTCCCAGCAGCTCGCTGCGTCGGGAGAGACTTTTTCTCCTGCTGCAGAAGAAAAGAGAGGGAAAGGGAGCTTTGCATCCCCTCTTCCTTCTGCGTTTTTTCCCCCTACTCTCTTGACTGCTTTGATGCATTAATAGCAGGACACTGGTTTTCAAGGAACTTTGCTCCCTTCCCAACCTGCCTCCTCCCAGCCCTTTGGGAAGAGTGTGTGTGTGCGTGTGTGTGTGAAATTGCCGTCCCACCTCCCCAAACCTCCCTGCTTCCCCACGCCTCCCCCTGCAACCTGTAGGCTGTGCAACCCCTGCAGGCTTTTCTCCCTTTCCCCTCTCCTTCCCTCCCCCTCTCTTTTTGCGCTCCCGCGGATCGCGGTGCGAATTCCCCCTTTCGAGGCGAGAAAAAGCTGAAAGAAGGAGGGGGAAAAAAAGAAGAAAAAAAAAAAAAAAAAAAAAAAAAGACAAAAAGCAAATCTAGACGCACCCCTCCTCCCAACGCCAAAAGAAAAGCAGGAGGGTCTCGTACCCCGAGAATAAACCCCAGAGCGGGGCGCCTGCAAGCAGGGGCTGCGCTTTTCGCCCCTCTTTCCTTCTTGAATTTTTGAATTTTTTTCTTTCTTTTTTTTTTTTTTTTTTTTGGCCCCCGAAGGGGCAAGCGGAAAGGAAGCACCGCCCGCCCCCCCCCCCTCCCCTTTCCTCCCCCACCTTCCCCCCCCCCCCCCCCCCCCCTCGCCGGCGGCAGCCCCCCCGCGCCCCGTCCCGCCGCATCCCCCCGCCGCCGCGATGCTGCTGCGGCTCCTGGTGCTGCTGGGCGCCTGCCCGGGGCTATCGCGGTGCCTGGGCTCCTTCGTGCAGTGCGAGCCCTGCGACGGCAAGGCGCTGTCGCTCTGCCCGCCGCCGCCGCTGGGCTGCGAGCTGGTGAAGGAGCCGGGCTGCGGCTGCTGCCTCACCTGCGCCCTGCCCGCCGGCCAGCCCTGCGGCGTCTACACCGAGCGCTGCGCCCGCGGGCTGCGCTGCCTGCCGCGCCAGGGCGAGGAGAAGCCGCTGCACGCCCTGCTCCACGGCACCGCCGTCTGCCTCAGCGAGAAGAGCTACCGCGAGCAAGCCAAGGCCGGTGAGTGAGCCCCGCTTCTCCCAGCCTCAGCTGCCCCCATTGCTTTGCCGGCTCCTTTCCGCCTGCTGCTTTTTTTTTGTTTTGGTTTTTTTTTTTTTTTTTTTTGTTTTTTTTTCCCACCCACCCCGCCGCCACCTCCCGGCTGCGTTTTCCCTCTTTCCGGGTGCTCTTTCGGGCCCCTCCGCTTGCTTTTCCGCCTTTCCGGCTCCCTTTCCATCTTTCCGCTTGCTTTTCTCCTCCCTCCCACTGGCTGCTCTTCCCTGCCCCCCCCGGCTGCTTTCCCATCCTTCCGGCTGCTTTTCCATCTTCTCAGGTGCTCTTCCTTGCCCCCGCTTGCTTTTCCGCCTTCCCGGATACTTTCCCACCTTTCTGCCCGCTTTTCCATCCCTGCTCTCCCCAGCTGCTCTTCCATCTCTCCTCCCCCGCCGTGTGCTTTTCTGCCTTGCCGGCTGCTCTTCCATTCCCCTCCACCACCACCAGCTGCTTTTCCATCTTTCTGGCTGCTTTTCCATCTTTCTGCCTGATTTTTCTCTCTCACACACACATATACACACCCCGGCTGCTTTCCCATCTTTCCAGCTATTTCCCCATTCCTTCCTCTCCCCACCCCCTCCGCCAGCAGTTTTTCCAAGCCCCTGGTTGCTTTTCCATCTTTTCCGACTGCTTCTCTACCAGCACTTCCTCTAGCTGCTCTGCCATCCCCCTATTGCTTCTCGACATTTCCAGCTACTTTTCTATCTTTCCAGCTGCTCTTCCACCCCCCCAAGTTGCTTTTCCATATTTCTGGCTTCTCTTCCATCCCCCTTCCCCCCACCTCCCCCCCCACCCCCCCCTCCCAGCTGCTTTTCCATCTTTGTGGGTACTCTTCCATCCCTCTAGCTCTTCTTCCATGCCCCCTGCTGCTTTTCCCATCCTTCTTTCCATCCATGCCCTGGTCAAACCTCCTGTTGCATCATCTCACAGCCTCCCCCACCCCCGCTTCCATCATCACCTCTGGGTTGTCCCATCCCCAACAGGAAAGCTTTTCTTCTCCCACCTCCCAGATACACTCTCGTAGTCACAGCTGCAGCCCAGTCCTTCCCCAGTTGTATCCTTTGCATCTTTCCAGCATCCCTGTCTTCACCCTCTTCCCGAACCCTTTCTCTCGCCATATCTTCCACCATGCCCTGAGGCCCGAGCTGGCCTCTGCAGAGGGCAGGGCACCTCCTTGCAACCATCTGCCCCATCCCCAAAGTCCTCGGCCACCCCCGGGTTTGTTGCTCAGACTCCCGCTTTCTCCTTGGACTGTTGCAGCCTGCTCCTCCTGGCTGCCCGCTGCTTGACGTCTTTGGTTGGGCAGTGGGTTTTAGCCCAGGGAGGTGAAGAGAGCAGGTGCATTAGGGACAGGGAATCTGCGATTGCAGAAAATAACGATGGTGTTGCTAATAGTCAGAAAGATTAAGTTAAAAAAGCAAGCTTGAAGGCTGGCGTGGTAGCACCAGTGAAAAGCCAAGCTTCTGAAATATTTGCACCTTGCACATGACAAAAGCAGGAAAGAAAGCGCTCCTTCACGTTGGCACTCATTTAACTCCCATTTCTGGATCCTGTACCTTGTGCACGGACACTTGCCCTGTACTTCTCCAAATGCATCTATTTCTGCCACAGCGTGAAGGGGAGGCGGGGGGGGGTGTCTGCATGTCCAGGGGACCGGGCAACCATTTGGAAAAATAAATAATAAAATAAAAACAAACCCCCCAAAAAAACAGAAACAAGATGCCCCCCCCCCCCTTTTGGTCTATGAAAAAGTAATTTTTGCTTGTTAGCAAGCTTCTGCTTGTACCCACACAATGGGGATCCACTTCTTGTTTCTAGCACTTAATAAATCTTGATTCTTTTACTATTTTTTCCCCTTTGTTGCTTGCAAGCAGTGGTTGCATTGCTACGCTCCATCCTTTAGAGCAAAACCAAATTCTGTGTGTATAACTTCCCCCCCCCCCCCCCGCCTCCCTCAAATGACAACAAATGTCTAAATTCCCTTAAAATCAGCCGGAAACAGCAAAGTTGAGCTCAGTTTTCTGAAGGGGAGCTGGAAGGCTTGAGAGCTGGGAGGGAACCTGCGGAGGGTGAAGGCGGGAGCCGCGTTGCTGCCAGGGAGCCCAGGAAGCTGGGCAATAACCCGCTGGCAGCGGAGCTATTCGAAGTATCCTGGAGCGCGTCATCCCCGGTGTTTATTTACTCTGCGTGTGTGTGTGCATGGCCAGAGGCAGGCGGTGTGGTCGGGAAGGCAAAGCTTTGCAGCTGAAACCCAGCAGCGGCTGCGGGGAGTGGGGCTGATCCTCGTGCCCCTGGCGAGGGTGCCCCGTGCAGACCAAAGGTACCCAAAAAAGCTTTGGCGCTTGGTTCCCAGCGTGCATCTCCTTTCGTTCCACCTGCCTCGCTCTTCCCAAGGAAACTGGTCCTTTAGCAGGTGTTTTGCGTGAAAACTTTGGCCTGTCCCCTTGTAATACCGCTGCTTTTGGTTTTCTTGGGCTGGGTAGCACCCGTTGAATGAGGAAGGAGAGGGATAGGAAGGAGGTTGCAGGTTTGTTGCAAAACCAACCCCCTGGTACTACCTGCGCTTCCAGTTTGGACTCCCAGAGTGCCGCAGGGGTCTCTTTTCGATGGATTTTGTTCGCAGCTGGGATATGAGCCTGGATCAGAAAGGCTGCTGCAAGAAGCCGTAGGAGACCAGCAGGCTCCTCTTGAGATTTGAGCGATTGCAAAAAAGAAATAAAAAATAAATCAGGAATTCCTGAGGACGGGAGAGGGGAAAAAACTCTCTTGGCACTCAACTGGTAGCGTGTGAGAACAAAGTATATTTTCATAGGCGTGTTTCTAAGCAACAGGGCAAGGAAAGAAATGAAGTTTGACTTGAACTTTCTGGCCTCTGCCAGTTTGGCCAGCAATGCAGGGATCGTGTGCTGGGGAAGCTGGCCTGGCCTTCCCATCTATCAATGACCAAAATTGGCCCTGAGCTGTGAACCACTGAGAAAAAATCAGCACTCTGCAAAATAAACTATGTGACAGCGGCGAGGACTAGATCAAACCGCATTTCTATCTATTTCTGCTCTCATGCTGGCCAAGATTAAAATCGCAGATGCTTTCCTCCTTATAGTCGAGGTGGAGATGTAACAAGCAGTATTGCAAGAGCTCAAGCCTGGGAGGCTGGGCTTGGCTCTCTGGTAGACCAGATGTCTTGCCTGGGGACAAGATGCTCCCGGTTACCGTGCCTGTTTCCTCATCTGTAAGCTGGGCACAGCGGTACTGAGAAATGCTGGAGCTACTGGGCAGAATGTGCTCCAGGTTTGCTGAGAGGTCGGAAATTAAAGCAAGTGTGGGATTAAAGGGCTTTGGTAAGCCTTGTTTTAACTAGGCGGATGTGTAGGTACTGACGGGACGGTCCCTGTAGTCCATCCTGGCACAACAGTCAGACACTGTCCTTTACTGAAAGCCAAACATCACGGCTGTAATTGACTGTTCCTGGTAAAAAAACATGAATGAGCTTCATTTATGGCACAGGCTGCAGGATTCTGGGTTTTCTCTGTTTTGTTTAGGTTTCCTTTGAAATACACCACGTCTTTCCATTTTTCTCCCCTGTGCTCCTGCCAGACTTCCTCCTGCTGAGACAGCAAGGTCAGGCCGAGCGCCGGGGAGTGGAGGGCACAGATTGGAGCCTGCTGCCCTAAAAGGCTCATGGAAAAACAAAGGTTGTCAAATATTTCCCTCTCCTCTCTCATTCCTGCTCTCTTTCTAGAAAGCGAGCAAGACTTGGCAAGTTTCCTCGCGAAACCGTGAGCCAACGATAACCAGGAGGGGAAAAGGGGGGGGGTTGCAGAACTAGCCCTAAGAAAATTGTCTTTGCTGCGTCAGCTGGAAGTAGGCGGAGGAGGAGTGCTGCCGAGCCCAAGTTTCCTGCGGCTTGTGTTCGGTGCAGTCCTTTATCCCTGCCCGACATATTCCCCCCCGCCTTGTTTCTCCTTCCTGTGCTCCTCTGCTCCCCGTTTGGGGACGCAGGGCTTCAGGGGCGAGCGATGGGGATGCGGTGGGGCAGGTGGGCAGCGCGGCACCGAGGTCCAGGGTGAGGGTGAGGGTTAGGGCAGGGGTCGTGGGAGCGGGGCGCTTGGGACGCGCTGGCTTGCAAACATGTGTCGCTCAGGGAGGGACCCGGCTGGTGCCGAGCAGCAGGTCCTTTGTGCGAAGCAACTCCCGAGCTGTCAAGGCAGAAAGCTAGTAGCAACAGGCCTGCAAAGCCTCAGATCCGAAACAGGAAAATCTCCATTTTTCTTTTGATCTGAAGTTTCAACAACAATAACAATATATTAAAAAAAAAAAAAAAAGTGTGAAATCCGTCAGGTGCCAGCAAGAGAGCCGGGTTTCTGTGGTGTGTGTGTATGGGGGAGGGAGGGATGGGGTGGTTCAAACAGGAAAGGAGGGGCCTTGGCTGGAAAGATTTTTCAGCAGCCTGGTTTCTAAGGAAGGAGCGAGAATATTAAGTAGTTGATACAAATGAAATTCCTGCCGGGTGCCAGCAGAGTTCACCAGAGAGGAGACGTGGCTCTGCGTGCATGCGTGCGTGCATGAGTGATAGAGCTGGTCCCGAGCCCCCGCGCAGCGCTCTCAGCCTGGACCCGCTCCAGGCAAAGGATGGGAGCGCCTCCAGAGCCTCTACCGCCGCAGCGGAGAACAGGGGCTGGCCCTACATGGGAGCCTCTGCAAACCTGAGGGATGCTGGCGGAAGGCTGTGTGCCTCCTCGTGCCGATATTTAAGCACCAGCATCCTGTGCCCAGATGACCGTCGCGGCTTTGGCGTGTTGATGGTGTGAGCACAGTCGTGTGCGAATGGAAGCATTTGCATGACCCGTCAGGCTTGGAAGAGAGGGGTAGGAGAGCTTGGGTACGTTTCGTGCCAGCTTTGAGACAGCCCCTGGTTTCTTTTGGTCGCATAGTTTGGCACACGTGTGTTAGGGCAGCTGGGGAGGAAG